TATATTTATTCAATAATTATAAAAATATAAGGATATTAACAGAAACTAAAATTATTATAAAATACTAAAAAGTAATAATAAAATAATAGCGAACAAGAATCCTATGTTAAGTTTTTATTTAGAATTATTAAAATTAAACAGAAACTGGCTTAATTATATCTTTAAATAATAACATTAAAATTGATAATTTTATAGTTATATATCAAACAATATAGATGTGATGTATGCATCAAAAATAAAATAAAGAGTTTGATGATGGCTCTAACTGAACACTGTCCAAGTACTTGACACATGCTAATCGTACGACTAATTAATTTAAATCTCTAATAAAATTAAGTAGTAGTGGTGTACAGGTGAGTAAAAGATAAATTGGCTACCTTAAAGTAAGGGAAAAAATCCCTTATAACCAAAGGTTAATAATACCGCTTTAAGATGATAATTTTTATCTCGGTGAGTAGTAGGAAAGGTAATGACTTTTCTAGCAATAAACCGTAGTCGTAACTGGAAAGTTGATCGACCACATTGGGTCTGAAAAAAACCCAATGCTTTTATGTACAGCAGTGAGGAATATTGGTCAATGGCCGAAAGGCTGAACCAGTAACTTGGAAGAATGTCTATGTAACTTGTTTCGTTACATTCGCGATTATCTCGCATAAAATTCTAAATAGATTAGATATAATGACATAATCTATTTATAAGTCTTGACCAAACTACGTGCCAGCAGTCGCGGTAATACGTAGGAGGCTAGTGTTAGTTATCTTTATTGGGTTTAAAGGGTAAGTAGACGGTAAATTAAACTCTAAACGAGTACTTTTTTACTAGAGTTATATGAGAGAAGGAAGAATTTCTGGAGTAGAGATAAAATTTGATGATACCAGGAGGACTGTCAACGGCGAAGGCGTCCTTCTATGTAATAACTGACGTTGAGAGACGAAGGCTTGGGTAGCAAACAGGATTAGATACCCTAATAGTCCAAGCAGACAATGATGAATGTCATACATTAGATATAAATTTAATGTATAAACGAAAGTGTAAGCATTCCACCTCAAGAGTACTATGGCAACATATAAACTGAAATCATTAGACCGTTTCTAAAACCAGTAGTGAAGTATGTTATTTAATTCGATGATCCGCGAAAAACCTTACCACAGCTTGTATAGCAGATTATAAAAAATTGTTACAAGCGCTGCATGGCTGTCTTTAGTTAATGTCGTGAGATTTGGTTAATTCCTTTAATTAACGAAAACCCTCACTTTATTTATTTATATAAAGTGGTTCGCTACTACATCGGACCAGATAAAAGGGATTAAGACAAGTCATTATGGCCTTAATGCTGTGGGCTATAGACGTGCCACATACGCCTTTACAACGGGATGCGATATTGTGAAATGGAGCTAATCCCCAAAAAAGGAAATAATATGGATTGTAGTCTGTAACTCGACTACATGAAAAAGGAATTACTAGTAATCGTGAATCACCAACGTCACGGTGAATTTTATCTTAGTTAGGTACTAACCACTCGTCAGGCGCTGAAAAAAGAAGATGCAGTAAGTTTGATTTTTTCTGTGTAAAGTTATATATATTTATGATATATAAATATGCAGGATAGTTTTCGTATGCAAAACTTTGATTGGTGTTAAGTCGAAATAAGGTTCGTGTAATGGAAATTGCACGGGGAGTATAAAAATTTAAAAATAAAAATAATAGTATATATATTATAAAATCAAATATAGGTATATAACATATTGGTTCAATTCCAATAAATGATTAAATATATATATGAAATAGGGAGGTCCCGTAAGTTGGTTAACGGGTTGAGCTGTAAACTCAATAGCTATAAGCTATCGAAGGTTCGATTCCTTTTCTCCCTAATTAGATCTTAATCTAATCCTATCTAGACATTTATTATTGTTTGTATAATATGTTAATAGATTTAGTTTTTTTATTATGAATAATATATTTTTATTAAATGATTCTATTACTAATGGATTTAGAATAGAATTTGTAGATATTATTTATTTAGTATCTATTTTATTAGGTATACTTACTATAAGTAGTAGAAATCCTGTAGTATCTGTTTTATTTTTAATAGGTTTATTTGTTAATGTTGCAGGTTTATTAATTTTAGTAGGATATAATTTTATAGGATTAGCTTATATATTAGTTTATGTAGGTGCTGTTTCTATTTTATTTTTATTTATTTTAATGTTAATTAATATTAGAGTTTCTGAATTATTTAATGATACTAATAATGATTTACCTTTAGCTAGTTTAACTATTATTCTTTTTTATTATATAATGGCACAGGTATTACCTATAAATTTTACAGAAAATAGTATTGTTTCTTATTTATCTAATTCATATTCTGATGTATATAATGTACAATTAGATAATGAATTCTTTAATATAGTTGATTTAAAACAACAAATTGGTTATGCAAGTAGTAAAGGTTGAGATAATTCATTAATAGAACCTACACATATAGCTAGTATAGGTAATATTATGTATACTAGTTATTCTATGTGATTAATAGTTACTTCTATTATTTTACTATTAGGTATGGTAGGTGCTATAGTTATCACAATAAAACAAAAATAGTAAGATAAAGCTTAAACAATTAATTATTAAATTAAAATATGATATATAAATCAAAAAGTAATTTTCAAAATCATCCTTTCCATTTAGTATCACCGTCACCTTGACCATTGTTTACTAGTTTGTCATTATTTATATTAACAACAACTACAGTTTTATTTATGCACGGATTCCAAGGATTCCAATATTTAGTAGCTTTAGCTGTATTTAACGTTATTTACGTTATGGCTTTATGATTTAGAGATGTAATTTCAGAAGGAACTTATTTAGGTAATCATACTAATGCTGTACAAAAAGGATTAAACTTAGGTGTAGGTTTATTTATTATATCTGAAGTTTTCTTCTTTTTAGCTATATTCTGAGCATTTTTTCATAGTGCAATATCACCTAGTGTTGAATTAGGTGCACAATGACCTCCATTAGGTATACAAGCTGTTAATCCATTTGAATTACCATTATTAAACACTATATTATTATTATCTTCAGGTGTGACAATTACATATGCTCACCATTCTTTAATACAAGGTAATAGAAAAGGTGCTTTATATGGTACAGTTGTAACAATTATATTAGCTGTAATATTTACTTTCTTCCAAGGTGTTGAATATTCAGTATCTTCTTTCACTATTTCTGATAGTGTTTATGGTTCATGTTTCTACTTTGGTACTGGTTTCCACGGTTTACACGTTATTATTGGAACAGCTTTTTTAGCTGTAGGATTATGACGTTTAGCTGCATACCATTTAACAGATCACCATCACCTTGGTTACGAATCAGGTATATTATACTGACATTTTGTAGACGTAGTATGATTATTCTTATATATTTCTGTATACTACTGAGGTTATTAGATATAAATATATTTAGATAAAGATATTTGCTTTAAATTTTTAAAATTTAAGGTCTATATAGACCTGTTATTTTATAACATAAATTATATATTTATTTAATTAAATAATAATTGTGAATTAAATGCAATAATGATTATTATATATATTTATCTTTTAGAGACTTTAGTTTAATGGTAAAACATGTGACTTTTAATCATTATAATATGGGTTCAAATCCCATAGGTCTTAATAGATTATTATATTCTGAATTATAATTACGAAAATGACTATAAGTTAATGGTAGACTGCTTATTTACCATATAAGATGTGCTGATTCGAATTCAGCTAGTCATAATAAGTAAATAATTTAGATAATGGCTATAAGTTAATGGTAGACTGTTTACCTTCCAAGTAAAGTGTGCTGATTCGAATTCAGCTAGCCATATATATATAAATAGGGTTAGTAACTTAATTGGTAAAGGGTTTTCTTGTCGAGAAAATAGATGCCGGATCGAAACCGGTCTAACTCGTATATGTATATAAATTAAAGGAAAAGTTGCTATTGGTAGGGTAAGATATTTGCTAAATATTGTGTTTTGACACTTAGATGTTCGATTCATCTCTTTTCCGAAGAGCATAGTTTAATAGGTAAAACTGTAAGCTTCAACCTTATATTTCTTAGTTCAAATCTAAGTGCTCTTGAATATAATATAGGTTCTTTAACTTAACTGGTAAAGTGTATTCTTGATAAGGATATGTTCAGTGTTCGAGTCACTGAAGAATCAAAAAAAAAAAAAGAGAGTTTGCTGAGTGGTTTAAGGCGGCTAGCTTGAGTCTAGCTAAAGGTATAAACTTTCATATGTTCGAATCATATACTCTCTGATACCTATAGTATGAAAAAAATTAATTAAATAAAATTACGTATAATAATGTATTAACATGTTATATTATATATAATAAAATTAAATTAAATTAATGTAAATACATTATAGGTCTTACAGGTTAGTGTCCGGTGGTTGGTCGCTTCATTTGGGTTGGAGATTGTTTATGTTCGAATCATAATAACCTGATGACTAATTTAGGCTTATTAATATGGGCCAATAAAGATGATATGTACCATATACATCTTGAGAAATCAAGACAAGTATATAAAGAAACTATTATGGATGGTTAGCTATATATTTCAAGATATTTATATCTAGAAAAACAATATAAACTAGAAATCATAGAGAAATCTAATTATAAGACAAAGTGAATTGAAATATCTTAGTAACTTTAGTAAAAGAAATCAAACGAGATTGTTATTTGGTGTCTTCTGAATAGCAAAAGCCTTAATAAATAATTACTATATTAACTTTATAGTAATTATTTATAGTAAATATACTAAATAGTATATTTAAGTATAACGGAAAAAAATCTGTTGAAAAATAGGGGAACCTTCCTCTAAGGCTAAAAAAAATATATAAGCGATAGAGTAACAGTACCGTGAGGGAAATACCCTGAAATAGTAGTTTTATAAGCAGCTCAAGTTAAATTTTAAATAAATAATAAGAGCGTACCTTTTGCATAATGGGTCAGCAAGTTAATTTTAGATGCAAGTAACATCTCTTTTATAAGCATTTATATATAGAATATTATCATCTATTAGAAATGATAATATTTGTATGTAAATTTATTAATAAAATTAGGAGATAGATACGTAGATAAACCAATTATGAAAAAATGAATTAGTATCTAGAATTAGACCCGAAGGCTAGTGATCTTACCATGGTCAGGGTTATAAAAGCCCGAACGGGTTATCGTTGTAAAGATATCCGATGAACTGTGGTAAGTTAGTGAAAGACAAAACTGACTAGTATAGCTGGTTTTCCGCGAAACCTATGTAAGTAGGTAATTTAATTAACATCTTAGCAGGTACAGAACTGTGATCTCGGACAATATCTAAGATATTTGTCAACATCGGGGGGTTGTAGTGACTTTACCGGAGAGTATTTGCACTCGGAAGGGCAAAGATGAATGTTAAATAATCGGACATAGTGCGATAAGGTTGTATGTCTAAAGGGAAACAGCCCAGAACAAGAGTTAAGGTTCCAAAATTATTGTTAAGTGAAATTAAGGATGTTTTTTTTTAAAACAATCAGGAAATAGGCTTAGAAGCGGCCATTTTTTGAAGACCTCGTAACAGAGCACTGATTAATAAATTAGGAAAAAACGCCGAAAATTTAACGGATCTAAATAATATACCGAAACCTTGTACACAAATTAAAATTAAAGCGCTGTAGCTTAAGATTTTTGTGGGGTAGCGGAACATTGGATTAAACAAAATATTAATATTTTTCTTAAAATATTAAAGATTCAGCATAAAACTATCTAAACTAAATATATGATTTATTATATATTGTGATTGATTATTTATTTTACTATACTACAATATAATATAACTAATCAATTAGTTATTTAACGATAATTAATTAAAATTAGTTATTTAGTGTGGGTTATTTAGTAAAATAAAAAAAGTTAGTAATAGTAAATATAGTAGTTTAAATGCTATATTGTGATTTATGAGTATCTGTTAAATCCAAGAGAGAATGCTGACATGAGTAACGAAAAAGGCTTTTAGCCTCGCCTGAAGCTTATGGTTTCATCTAAAATCGGTGTCTAAAAAAATTAATCAAAAGATAATTTTGATGACGTTTTGTGTTTTTTTTATATGATAATACCAAAACCTTTAATTAGTAATAAAGGTTCTGGAAAAGTTTATTTTATTATTTGAAGTGAAAAGTATTTAATACTCATACTTATTGGTATAAATTTGTATATTACAATTTTATATAATACATACTTTATTATTATATTGTGATTTTCAAATAATAGAATGAGTATAATAAATATATTTTAACCTAATAATAGTCTTTATCTATTATAATAATATTATATAATAATTATTAATAATTAATTACCATTAGATTATTAATATGTATTTATAGGCTATATTTGAATTATGGTTCTCAAAGTTCTTATATAATATTATAATATATAGATTAAAGATAACTTTATACTGATAAAGAAAAGAAAAGAAAAAAATAATAAATAACCGTACCTAGAAACTAACTCAAGTAAGCAAGTAGAGAATACAAAGGCGTTTGAGAGAACAATCATTAAGGAACTCGGCAAATTGACTCTGTACCTTTGGAATAAGGAGGACCATTATTATTAAATTTAACATATAGTAAAGTATGAAATTAAATATGAAAAATTAAATTAATAATAAGAGGAATCATGAAATAATGTTGTACGACTGTTTAATAAAAACACAGCACTCTGCAAAGATAAAAAATCAAAGTATTGAGTGTGATGTCTGCCCAATGTCGGCTGGGTAACGGATCTACCTTGATTATTAACTGAGGTTTTGAAGGACACCCCGATTAATGGCGGCCTTACCTATGAGGGTCCTAAGGTAGCGAAATACCTTGGCCGTTAAATGCGGTCCTGCATGAATGACTTAACGATGCAACAGCTGTCTCGATGATTGTCTCAGTGAAATTGGAATAGCAGTGCAGATACTGTTTACCTCTAGATAGACGAGAAGACCCTATGCAGCTTTACTGTTACTAATTATAAGAGTGAAATTTTAGGATGATTTATAGTGTATAAGGTAGTTGTTTAGATAATAATGAAACACCTTTATTCGAATCCTTATGTATACTCTTAATGATTAGAAGGCAGTTTATGCGGGGCACAGATCCCACAAAAAGTACCTGGGTATATCCAAAGTTCATATTGTAAACTTGTATATTTATATACAAATATTTTAATTTGTTCTAATTATTATTATAATTATACAGTTATTATTCGATTAAATTCCACAATTATTTTTTATTTTAAGTAAGATTTTAACTATGCGGTGAATAGATGTATTTTAAACTTTACTGGGCTTTGCACTAATTTTAGTTCAAAGATTTAAAAGTTTATTTGTTATATTAATAAAGTATTTATCTTTATTATTATAATGTTTATTAATACTTTAAAAGTTTAATGGCTAAATCTTGCTTTACTGTTTGACCTACAAGTCTATCAGTCGCGTAAGCGGGGCATATGATCACAAGATGCATTAAGGAAAGGTCTTGGATTATAGAAAAAGTTACGCTAGGGATTTATAACTGTGAGTCCTCCAATATTATAAAATATTGGTAATATATTGGGTAAATTTCAAAGATAACTTATATTAATTAAGTGTATTTGAAGCGAAACTTATTTTAGCATGTGTTTATCTTTAAGATAAATTAAAATAAGGACGTTCAACGACTAAAAGGTGAGTATAGCTAACAATAATCCTTTTTTAACGCCCAACATCTTTATTAATTAATCATAACTAAAAACACTATTTGTATAATAATTATTATTCTTTTTAATAATGTATTAGACTTGGTTTACCAAGCTTTAATATTATATAATTAATTAAATTAATTATATTAATATATATATATATATATAGATATGTTAAATATTATAAAATCAAAATTAAATACTACATATAAAAAAAAAGGATTAAATGATTCT